ATAGGCAATGTGGTGTCCTCCAGATGTTGGCCTGATTTTTAAAAAATATCTCCCGAGTGGTGTACAAATGAACTTGAAGATAAAACACAGCTGAAATCCACAGTCTGCTTAAAACAAAAAAAACCCCGCATGAAATCAAAATCGTTACATACTGTAATGAAAAACAAAGATTTAAATCAATAAAACTTTAAAACATATGTAAGTTATAAATTCTAAATCTGAATAGGTTTGCTGAAACAAAAACGTTCTACGAAACATAGGGAGGGTGCCTGCCTACTGTCAATAGGCAGGGAGTTCCAAAGTTCAGGTGCTGCCACACTAAAAGATTGGCTCCTCATAAATGTGGAACAGATATTATGTGGCACCTGTAAAAGTGCAAGTTCCTGACCAAAGCAAGTGAATACGCACATTTAGGACAATGTGATCTCTTAAGTAAATAGAAGTTAATTTAAAAATTAATTAAATGGAATGGGGAGGGGAGGGGGGAGTAAACATAAGCAAGTAAAGAAGGAAAACGTACCTGTTTAACCATACAGGACTGGGGACATTCCATTGCTACTAACCACCAACAGACAAATATGCCACAGAAGAATCTGTCCTTAACAAAAAAAGCACTCTTTTGCCTCTGCCGCCTCGTATAAGTAATTTATATATATTCTATGAATTGAAAATTGAGAAGCTATATGTACTTTTGTTACCAAATAAAAACATTTTTTAAAAAACAACAACACCCTAATTCATGTATTTCCAGAATGTGTGCTATTATGTAAATGAATGGTAAATGAAGTGAATGGTAAAGAAAAGCTACCAGTGAAACCCTTTTCAAATGTCTTGTTTGTAGTGCTTTTGCCTTCTTGTTCTAAGTGTGGTGCGCCACCTACTGTACAAACATAATATAGACCTGCTTTCACACAGCCATTCTGAGTGTAACACCAACTACATAAGAACGTAAGAGCCCCGTTTAATCAGGCCAGTGGCCTGTCTAGTCCAGAATCATTTTTTCACAGTGGCCACCAGATGCCCATGGGGAAGTCTGCAAGCAGGTACATGAGTACAACAACACCCTCCCTTCCTGCAGTTTCCAGCACTTGGTATTCGGAACAGCAGCGTAGCATGGGTTGCCAGTGCCCGTGGCCATGTGGAGGGACGGGAAATGTATGGAGTACACATGCACATTCAACTGCCTAACAGCATCTGCGTCACCTAGGAGATCACAGCTGCAGAGATAAGAAGAGTCGTTCCATTGTCTGGAGAGGCTGTTTTCTGGTTCACACAGCCTGGTTTTCAACGGAGCCCAGCAACGGAAGCTTGCAGCTGTGTTGAGGCAGGACTGGGTGTTGAAATTTTGTGCCCCTTACAATTTTGTACCCGGGGCAACTGCCCCTGTGTTGCACCACCACCACCACTGGTTCAGACGCATGCTGCCTCTGACCAGGGAGATGAACTGATGGCTTGCATGTATGGCTGTCAAATGCTCCTCTCTGCAGAGTAACATGGTCAGAACATAAAATGTCAACTCAATATTTTCAAAGGACAGACTACACATATCCAGATGGGAGGCAGTGGAATTTAGCAGTGAGAGATCAAGCAGCGCCAGCTGCTTGTTAGTAGGTTGAAACTGACATGCAGCATTCACAACCATATCAAACACCAGAACTTCCATGCTACAATCAGTGTAGGACAACACGCCTATCTGAATTCCCTATTGTATGCTATGTTTAAAGACACAGAAGGCCCTAGGGTCCAGAATTAGCAGCCACATACCCCCTTGACTCCTAGCAAAATGTAGTCAAGCCTTTCCCTCAGACTTCTCTTTTCTTAGCATTACTCCACTGCCCACCATTGCTTCAAAATTCCTGCCACTGAGTTTTCCAATGTCCAAGTTCTGTTATTCTCTGACCTCCTTCTCCAAAGACCTTTCTGGTCCTCAGTCTCCTCTGTGCACCACCTTTTTCCGTAGGGCCTGAATGAGGTAACAAAACTGACAGCTTTTTCCCCCCTCACAACAGCTGGGCTGCGAATATTTGTGTTGCCAGCACAGTTGTTTCCTGAGCTTCTGGCACATGTTCTACAACACTACTATAGGACAGGAGGGAGGGCTCACTGCCTTTAAGCACAATAAAAAATGAGATGAACAGCGAAACACGCACAAGGCAGGATGAGTCACAGAACAAAAAGAATAATAGAAGTTCCTCTATGAGCCCTCAATATTTCCTCCTTTAGAAAAGACGTTCTCTCTATGGCCTTTTGGGCTGAATAAGGCCTTGTGCGGATGCCAATTGTTTCGGCTACCAGTTGGCTACAGCCCCTTGCCTTGCATCCTGATTACTACGAAATTCTTGTCCCCAGCTGTGATCTGTAAAATGTACTGCTTTCTTTTCTGTGAGTTATTTATCACATGCTGTCACAAGAGCAGCTAGGGCAGGGAGGTTAGGGGGACGACAGGTCTCTTATTAAGTGGCTACCTGACCTTGTCTCTTTGTTGTTTTTAAACTAGCATGCAACTTTACCACCCTGCTGTTCTTTAGTTGGCTGTCCTGTGGCTACTATCCTATTTGAATGACACTCAAGACCTACCAGGCAAGAGCTATTGTTGTGAAGCTGCCCTTATTCTACCGGCAGGTGGTGCTGCTGACATAACACCCTGGGTTATATATAGTGGACAGTACAGTGCGAAAATTTCCATGCCAGGCATGGAAAATAAAAAGACAACATATATTTAGGTTCTAGCACCTGCTGGATGTAATTTTCATTTGGAGGGTAGCAGTTGGCTCCTGTGTTTAGAAAATAATTCATTCGACGTTAACAAAACAAGCAGCTCTATCCATAAGCCACTTAAATCAGCATAATTGACTGAGAGCAGATTTATGCCTATCTCAGGACGAACTTAGTGAATAAGGGCTTAAAAGAGGGGGTGGTCAATCTGCCCTGATGATAGAACTAACTGGCTTTCCATTCTGCTGATTACCAACAGAAGCAATCCAATGCAATTTCATTAACTGCTTTCTCTCTGCTTTTTCAGCATATTATGGGCCAGTTCACACATGCTTTCACGTCTTTCATCTTCATTTTGCCAGGCTAAACATACCCAATTCCCTTAACTGTTGAGTTTCAATATCCACTATACCTAATACTCTGCACTGAGAAGAAAACAGACCTTGCCATATTTCGGTCCTGGCAGCCAACAGCAGAGGTGGAGGGAATTCATGGCTAACTGAGAATATTGGTCTTGCAGGCCGATTGATCCCTGCAGTTTCCAGGGCATTGGGATTCAATAAGCTATATGAGCAGAACAGGTAAGCTGGGCACAAATTCCAAGAGGTCTGCCAAAATACTGAAGCCCCCTGTTTGACTATTACTGAATGAATTGCATGAAAAAGTAATATTAGACATACAAAGAGCAACACTAGGCTTGGAAACAATTTTTGTACAGAAAAAAACACATGGTACTTGGGTGGTTGGGGTTTATACCTCTAGAACCCAGCATGTAGTCTAAGGACACCATTGTACAGCAACCTCACTGAAGCTAAGCAGCTCTGGATCTGGCCAGTGCCTAGATAGATGACTGCATGAGAACTTTATTAGTCCAAAATGCTGCAGCTACATCGTTTAGTGGAAAACTTGGGAGATGCAGATGTTACAGCTTTGCTGAGGGAACTGCACTGGTTACCAATCAACTACCAAGCCACGTTCCAGATGTTGTTAACATATAATGTTCTGAATGACTTGGGGCCAGTTTACCAGAAAGACCACCTGTCTCTACGTATACCTGTAAGATCACTCAGATCATCTAGGGAAATTATATTTGTGGCACCCCACCCCACAGTATATCATAGGGCAGCGACACAAAAAGTGGCATTTTCTGCTATTACCCCTGTACGGTGGAATGATCTTACCACTGCCTTGCATGAAGTAGCAACCACAAGTTTTTTCCCAGATGTCTTGTGAAGACCAATCTTTTTGCCCAGGCTTTCCCTGACCTGTAAGATAGAACCCTGATTTATGTGTATGAGTCCCTGGAAATCTGTTTTACTTGTTTTATGTGCTTTAAACTGCTGATTTACTGGCTTTAGGGTCTATTCGTTTTAATGGATACTGTTTTTACAGTGTACATAGGGAATTTTGAAATATTAAGTAGTTTAGAAATGCCAATACGGAAAAGTTAAAGGATCCCTGGATGGTTAAGTCCAGTCAAAGGTGACTATAGGGTTGTGCCGCTCATCTTGCTTTCAGGCCAAGGGAGCTGGTGTTTGTCCACAGACAGCTTTCCGAGTCATGTGTCCAGCATGACTTCTGGTGCAACAGAACACTGACGGAAACCAAAGCACACAGAAACACCATTTACCTTCCAGCAGCAGCAGTACCTATTTCTCTACTTGCATTGGTGTACTTTCGAACTACTAGGTTGGCAGGAGCTGGGACAGAGCAACAGGAGCTCACCCCGTCATGGGATTCAAACTGCCGACCTTCTGATCAGCAAGCCCAAGAGGCTCAGTGGTTTAGACCACAGCACCACCATAGGCGCCGACTCCATGGGGCTTGAGGGGGCCCGAGCCCCCTCAAAAATTCGTTTGGGGGGCTCCGCCCCCCCAATAATCTCCGGCGCCCCTCCAGCAGAGCGCCATCGCCGCCCCTCCCCCAGCCCAAAATGCACAGGGAGGGGCGGGCTGCATGCCTCCTGCCCTCCCTCCCGAGCAAAAGCTCCACCCAATTTCCTTTGGAGCTGATTAATAGGCGCAGCACGCTCTCCCCTATTCGCTCACGAGGAGGCGGCACCACTTTATTTGCATATTCATGAGCTTATTTATTATTCATGAGCTTTCCCGGGCCCCCCCCAATATTTTTTATAAGTCCGCGTCCCTGAGCACCACCCTTGTCCCCCCAAAACGCCAATACATACAGATACATACATACACTGTCTTGGGTTCCACAAAAGAAAGGAAAGGTATAAATATAACAAGTAAATACATTTCCAGCTAGTTACAAAGCAACTTCACAACTGCATTACAAAACATTGTTTATTATAAACAGATCAATTTAAAGGTTATAAAAAGCATTCACCAAGTAAGTCACCCAAATAATCACAATTAGAACCTTGTTCTTTTTAGGCACAAAGTAAAGGAATCAGATCTACACCATATCATGCATTCTTCCAACAAAATAAAACACCATCACCAACATTCTCGTAAGTGCACTTATATGAAAAAAATGACTGAGATTGGTTCATATACTGGTCATGTCACCTTAAAATTACATACAAGATAGGCATACATAGTATAGCTTACAGTTGGGTTTAAAAAAACAACCAGGTGATTTAGAAAATCACATTTACAACAGGCAAATGCGTAATAGCGTGCAATACAAGATTACAGAGTGCTGAATTAATTCTTTGGTTTTGATCAAGTGCAAAAAGAGTGAAGGTTTCTATCATGGGACAGATTTGCAACCTAAAAACACCACCCTGCCATTCATAAAGGATGGGCACAATCTGCTGGAAACCACCTACCAAAGCTCTACTACAACAACATGATTTTTAGATTGTGCCCATAGTTACATCCAAAAGTTCATTAAAGACGGCATTCTGCATAGCAAACAATTAAAAAAGGGATTGCTACTCAAAAAGTGCAAATATGGGTTCTCCATGGTGAGCTATATTATTTGGAGTTCACATCAGCTTCTCAAACCAGTCAAAAAATAAGGTTGGATCCCCCAGCCCATTTGTGAAATCTTTGAGGGGCTAGAGGCTGGGATTATCTGACTAAAACAGAGAAAAGATAGCATTATGAAGGAAAAGAAAACCACTTCCTCTATCTTTATGGTTCCATAAATCAACATAATGCCAATGCAAAAGAAAGTGTGCCTAGTACAAGCTTACAAAGCCATCCTACAAACATTGAGAAGTTGGTAAAAGAAATACAAATCAAGGGAGGGAGGACAATGGTAGTGATGTGATTTAGGCTATTTCTAGGGACACTACCAAATTGCTCCAATTGAACACAATCAAGAAAAGCTAGCATGAACTGGGTTATATAGTGGGGAACTGCAACCATCTCTGCGATAATGATTGCAGAGAAGAAGTACAGCGATGAATGATCATGGAAATAGTTGCCACCTTCCTGGATGGCAGTAATCCATCTGACCTCTCTAGTCATGCAAAGTTGTAAAGGAATTGGCCCCTACTGACTCCTCCAATTGACCTTGGATTAGGTCCTTGGTATATGCACAGAGGATGGGTTGTTCAAGAGAAGCATTGCTTCCCACACCACATCTACCTCTTAGAACTGGTGTTGGAAGCTTCAAAGACCCAAAAAAACAGATTATTCACTTTAGTGCAATTTTCCATGCTCAAGCTTTATAAAAGAGAAAGAGAATAAATAGACCTTGAAGAAGCAGATATGCTTCTATGATGGTGGGGAGCGTCTGCAATTGATGTGATTTTAATGACGTGTTCGACATGCAGAAGCAGCAACCATTAATTTCATGGATAACTGAAATATACTCTGAAACTGAGGATCCATTCAATAAGATGTTTGTGCTTTAAAAGATCTTGCAAGGAAGGCATGCAGGAAGAGTCTTCTCAGCAATCTGTTCTTGCAGGCCCAGCCTGACTGATAAGATCAGTGCTTGCCATGCATTTCCTTACGGTTGTTCTACTGATTTAAGCTGCGATCCTAAATACCGTTGCTTGATAGCAAGTCCTACTGAACTTAAGAATGACTTATTTCTAAGTAAACAGACTTAGGATTGCAAAGTTTGCAACTGGATGGCAAAGTCCTTTATTGCCATGGTGAACTGGTTTTTCTCAGCCAGTCTACTCAGTTATTTGATTTGGGTGCTGAGAAAAGACAGGGAGTTTTCCCTTATCAATTGTCTCCACTATTAAAAAAAGGAGCAGTGTTCCATCAGGGAGGCCAGGTCTGACTTCCAGAAATACTAATGGAAAATTTGTGGTTGCTGTAAGACTGCACAAGTAATCCCACTCCTGCTCTTCTTTTGAATTGCGTTTTTCAACCTTCACATAATCAGCCAGTGTTACCAGCAGGAAAACACTTTCTTACTAGTAATACCTGCATAGGTCCAAAGACTTAATGGTTGAAATATTCCAAGACAAGGAAGAGATAATGAAGAATCAGTTTAAAACATTTAAAAAATAATAATTCTGAAACTGCACACTATTCTTAAAAGGTGATACGGCTTTCCCTAAAGGCAAGTTTTCTGCGGCAATCAAACAAGGGCATCAAACAATGCTCTGGGCTTTTGGTACAAACATTTACAAGTTACATGGACAGTAGCCCAGAGCACTCAAAATGCCACGAGACACTTAAAATTTGCATTCATTTCTAATTGAAGTATTTGACCAATGCATATGATCTGCTGAGAACTTCTCCTGCCAAAGTCAGTCACGACTAAGTTCCCACTGAAAGAAAAATTAGACTTTTCCTAGCCATGACTAATAGCTCCCAATGTTTTTAAAATGGGACTTAGTCAAGATTGTTCCTTAATATTTTAAGTTAACAAGAGAATCTAATGTATTCAGGAACAGCACCGTGGCATTCTGTTTGTCTCTGCATTTCTGCCTATGCCTTTCTAAAGTTTACCAAAAAAAAATTAACTATATTTTAATAACCCAATTTTCCTATTGCAGAATATAAACACAAAGGAGAGTTAAATTTTTGGTACGTGCAAGATGGGACAATCCACTGACCAACTAAATACAAATCCTAATAATGCAGGATCAGCTGCATAAAAATACATATTTAGCTCAGTAAAATATATTTTAGAAAAATCAGAAAATTACATTGACTAGAGATTCATTCTTTAAGATCTTCCATCACTCAGCTCGGCTAGCAATCAAATATTTCTTGATTGTTAAGATTTGGGAACCTGAGGTTGTCGGATTTGGCTTTTTAAAAAAAAGATACCTGGCTTACAGCTGTTTCAGGAAAGTGGGTCTTCTTCTGCTTCCTTGAAGGGATCCCCACAAGAACGGTGCAGTGAAGACTTGAATCCAATGGTAAACATGAATAAATTTAGCATCCAATGTGGTTTCATCAGGTGTGCATATTCTGTAATAAACCTCTATTTTTCTCCCCTCCTTTCCTCTCATGCTATTCCCAAGTTCTCCTTCATCTTTTCATACACCACGTAACTGATGCTGACAGCAGGGAGCACCTTCATGAAGTTAGGGGCTATGCCCCTGTACAGTCCCAGGAATCCCTCCTTAGCAATAATCCTTTGGAAGAGACCGACCATGGATAATTGAGGGCCACTTTCTACCATGGCTATGGAAGAGGTTAAAAAAAGGAGAAAGAAAGAGACACGTATTACTTAAAAGTATCATTTTAAAAGTATTCTAAAGTTAACAAAGAATAGAATGTGTTTTTCATGCACTCAATCCTTCGGTAGCGTCAACATTCCAGAAAGAGGTTCGCTGCCTCACGTGCTGTTTGTGTGAAGCAGGCATTTGTCTTGAGCAGCTTTTGCCAACACGGTGTCCTCCAGATGTTTCAATTTACAGCTCCCATCAGCTGCAGCCATCACAGTCATGCTGATTGGCATTTATGAGAATTGTAGTCCAAAACTTACAGAGGGCACTATGTTGGCAAAAGCTGGTCTGCTGTATTTTAAAAGGGTGGCTTAATTCTCGGAAGTAAAGTAATTGCTGGTAGCAGGTAGACTAGAGAAGAACCTACCAAGAAAAAGAGGAAAATGTGGCCAAACTCTTAGAGGGCAATAGCACCTAAAGTATTAAAGCCTTGGTAGCTTGCTCAACAGGGAAGCAGGTGGCGCTGTGGGTTAAACCACAGAGCCTAGGACTTGCCGATCAGAAGGTCGGCGGTTCAAATCCCCGCGATGGGGTAAGCTCCCGTTGCTCGGTCCCTGCTCCTGCCAACCTAGCAGTTTGAAAGCACGTCAAAGTGCAAGTAGATAAATAGGTACCGCTCCAGCGGGAAGGTAAACGGCATTTCCGTGCGCTGCTCTGGTTCGCCAGAAGTGGCTTAGTCATGCTGGCCACATGACCCGGAAACTGTACGCTGGCTCCCTCGACCAATAAAGCGAGATGAGCGCCGCAATCCCAGAGTCGGGCATGACTGGACCTAATGGTCAGGGGTCCCTTTACCTTTACCTAGCTTGCTCAACACAGGTGAACAAGCTCCTATACCACAGGAACCAACACTCACCTTGAGCCTGCATTCGAGTGCGGATGAGGGCAAGAGGATAACTGGCTAACTGGCCACATGTACTGGACGCGGTACCACATGCCAGCAATACAAGTACCCCAGGGTTGGCAGAGTCTGTTGCATATTTTTCTAGCCAGTTCTTCTTCAAAGCCTGCCAAGAGAACATTGATGCAGTTAATTTAACTTTACCTTAAAACAAACCATAATGGCCAAGTATTCACATGAGAAACATGTCAGGTCAATTCCTAAACTCACTATCTGCATATTTTACAAGTGCATATTGGTCCATGAGAGGCGGGACTGACTCTCATCTCTTTCCAACCTGACAGCACAATCCTAACCATGTCCAGTCAGAGGTAAGTCCTACTGAATTCAGCGAGGCTTACCTCCGGGTAAGTGGGGTTAAGGATTGGAGCCTAAATTAGTTGTAAGATTTTAGAGTCATGCCTGCAGCGTAATGAATGAAGTAATAAGGGGTTTCATAAGCACTGGGAAGCTATGGAACATGTTAATTATCACCTGTAAAAATAAAAAATCAGTTATGTAGATGGGAGAGAAATTAGACTTTAAGTACACTTGTTAGTGAAGCTGGTGCAGGGTATTACAGAACAAGAAAGCATGATACCAGCTAATCAGAGTTAGCATAATAGATAGCTGACAGGTAGAAAGCAGCAGTACAAAATTATTTCAGCATGAGGCATGCTTAAATGTGTTAAGATTAATGTATTGCAGTTATAATGAGAGGAGGCTGCTTTATAAATGACAGCAGCTGTGGGGCTAAGTAACATAGCATGAACCTCAGAAAGGCAGCAGTGTTAGAGAACTATTTCTAGTTAGTTTGTTTGATAACATCTTAAAAACCTACACATTTACTGTGGCATAAGCTTATGTGGAGCAGACCTCACTTTGCAAAGTAGCTTTGTCAGGGTCTTGCTGTGCTAACAGCACTGTTCAAACCCTGTAAGTGTGGGTTTCACTGAGTTACCCAGGGCTAACAACAGCCAGCATGTTTAGTATTGGTTTGTTTTCATTGTTCCTTATATAAACTGACATCTGAGATTAATGGATTTTAACAAGCAGTCTCCTACACCCATTCTCACCCAGTTAATCCCTCTCTACACTCTCCCAGCTGTTAAAACTTCCCAAACACCACCCCACTATTCCACACATCCTTCAACTTCCCCCACTTACCTTAATATCCCACGCACCAAATAGTCTCTTCCTCAGACCCCACTAAACTCAAACCCCAACCCTACATTGGCAGATACCGTGCCTGTGTGTGTACACGTGCACATGTTAGAAGGGTTTGTAAAAAGTCTAAGGACTGAAATACAGAACCCAAATATATACAAGATATACTACCCTTGTTTGGAAGCCACTGACCATTGTTTACCAGGATTGCATGTAAGCAGGAAACAATGGCTAACAATGGCAGATCTAATTTGTTTTGCCACTCAAGAAGAAGGAATGAATGAATTGGCAGTAAAGGAGATGCATGCACACAATTCATGTATAGTTTGGCTCATTAGCCCAGAATGTGATCCTGGCTATAGTATTGACACCAAAAGGAGGAGAAATTACTTTTTGCAGTTAGACTCGCTAAATAATTCTGGTTCAGCGACTTCACTCTTTCATTACAAAATTAAAAATACATGATTTTGCCGTGTTGAGATCTCTGCTTACTGAAAAGTGGAAACAGCAAACGTTTAGACAGCTACTCAGCAGTCAATCTACATTACACCCTACAGGCTCACTTGTATCACTGTGCAGGGCAATTATTATCTCAGCAAATAATACTTGTTTGTCTGGTTTCCAGGCATATTAATCTGAGTTAAAATAGCTAGAAATAGCACCTGTTGCAATCCTTCCTGGATTGTACTTCAAACTATAGGTGGGAGAGTGCATATTTGAATGCAACCACACGTTTTTAAAACTTCCTGAATATAGAAAATTAGCATGCCCGGGTGACCAGGGGAATAAGCTAAAAAATTTCTTCCAGTTTGCCAAATGCAAGGGGTCTTTAGATGAGGATTCCAGTCAGACATGCAGTCCCTCTGTTAAGAGTTCAGAAAGGACTATATCACATATTATTTTGCACATCTGAATCAGTTCTTAGAAGGTTGTGGCAGAGAATGGTCACACACCAATAGACCTATGTCCCTGCAGGAACAGTAATTCAGAAAAAGATTTAATGCATATAATGAAGGTAACATCAGATTCAGGTGTAAATATGTTTTTAAAATGGTTAATAGCCTGACTCCAGGATTCACTAGGTAGCAGTACTGAAACAACAACTACACCAATGCAACACTGCAAATACACAAAATTATGCTGAAGGTTCAGTTGTTATTGAGGTTATGTAACACACAAATATCTGGTTATGCTTGGCATCAACTGGCAAAGAATTCACTTGGGAGTCATCCTTCTAGGAATGTGTTGAGGTACTCCAGAGTAAATAGCTTGGAGAATGGAATTTAAGAAGAGTGTTTTATTAATCACAATTTAATTCCATTTATATCCTGCCTTTTGTCCAATGAGCTCAGGGTAGTACACACAGGGATAAGTCCACTTCATCTACACAACAACCAGATCAGTGAGGCAATACCTGGAACAAGGTAGCCAAATGAGCTTTGGCAGACATTGAGTTAAGCAGACATGCGAGCTCGGGTCTCTTTCCCCAATCTAGGTCTAACATAACCATCTATTATACAATGCTCCTTTAGTTATATTGTCATGGGATATGCCAGTGAACTCCACTCACCTCATAAACAGCCAGATCTATGCCAGCATAAGGAATGATGCCCAAAATATTGGGAATATAACCTTTGTAAAAAGCCTTCACGCCTTCTCCTTTTAAGATCTTCTTAGCACAGTCAAACATTCCAGAGTATTGCCCTGTTTTACCCACAGCCAGTCTAGTCTTTAATACCTAAGGTGGAGAAAAACTGTTGAAGTTAATCAAAATACTGCATTACTAAAATCTGCTATTCACTCCCTTGTATGCATGCATGCATGCACGAACGAATGAGTGCAGAGTGCGTGTGCACGCACACACGCACGCACACAGAGCAGTATCACCAGTCAAAGTTGGTAGAAGGCATTCCTAGCAGGGGTAGATTTAGGGCTGTGGAAGTCGTGTGCACACAATGGGCACTTAACCAAAAGCACTAAACTCAAAGCTTGGTAAACGAGGCACTGGGCTTTGGGAAGGAGGCGTGAGGCTCAGAAAGGGTACTAGCTTGTGCTTTTCCAGCTTTGGGAAGGAGGTGGGAGGGCCCTGGGACCCTGCCTGAGCCCTTGTCTCTCCTTCCCAAACCAAGGTGCCTACTTACCCGCCTTTGGGAAGAGAGCATGAGAACTGGGATGGGGGGAGTGCCAAATTTTGGGCTCACACAGGGGGCCATAGTACCCAAGTCTGCCACTGCTCCTAGCTGCTAAGGTTGCCTGGGGCCTCTGATAACAGAGATCCATTGAATACCAACTCGGACTAAGAAGAAGAAGAGTTTGGATTTGATATCCCGCTTTATCACTACCCGAAGGAGTCTCAAAGCTCCTTTCCCTTCCTCCCCCACAACAAACACTCTGTGAGGTGAGTGGGGCTGAGGGACTTCAGAGAAGTGTGACTAGCCCAAGGTCACCCAGCAGCTGCATGTGGAGGAGCGGAGACGCGAACCTGGTTCCCCAGATTACGAGTCTACTGCTCTTAACCACTACACCACACTGGCTCTCACTATACCACACTGGCTCTCAATGCTTCATCTTCCTTGATCCTTCTTAATGTCACTAGGAAAATCTCCATGGTCTCAAACAGGTGCCATTTCCAGTTCTGATACCCAAGATGCTTTAACTGGAAATGCTGGAGATTGAACCTGAGCCTTCATGCTTGTGAAGTGTGCATTCTGCCAATGATCTAGGATCACTCTGCAGCAACAGGCTTAAAACAGCACTCACCTCTGTTCAAAGATTTTGAAATAATTTTTAAAGAAGTTTGCAGAATGCTGACCAAAGTGCTGACCACACTATCTACAAAAAAGACGCTTCTCAGAAAAAGGATAGATGGTGCATGTTCACAAACAGAGCAGTCAATCCAAAACTGACCTCCATGGGATAAATAGAAGTCTGTGCAGTCGCTCCAGCCAGGGAACCAGATAGAAACCTTTCTGCAGTGCCGATCTTTCCCCCTTCATCAACGAACATCTTCTTATACTAAATATTAAAACACACAGTGACAGAAAAGGTTATGTTCTTCCCCATATAGTCACAAGCAGCTAACAGAACCGCTTAGCAGGATCAAGAACACAAGCCATGTTAGTTTGTCGTAGGAGTTGCTGGTCTACATGGCAAAGTCCTGCACATAGGCAGCTCACTGTTGCCACAACAATGTCTCCATCCCTTGTGTAAATCTTTATGATGGGCTGCTGTTGAGTTTTTTTGACAATGCCAACCATCACCCAACTGAGGATGTGAAGAGAGGCACTCTCAAGTGTCTCCTCCACAGTTATAGAGCATCCTATCCTGGAGATTTTTCATCTCTGCCTCTTAATGAGTGAAGACAGTTGTAATGTTTTTATAGCAGTACAACAAATCTCATGTTCTTCCAACTGAGCAATCCTAGCTCCAATTCCAGAAGGGACCACAATGAGTGCAGATGAAAAATACTGTCCCTTTCCAGGACCAGGCTCTGAAGATACCTGCTCTGTATGTTATAGTAGCAACTTCTGCAAGGAGATTGACTTGCTGGCACCTGTGATATCACTAAGTCACCTCCTTCGCCACTCCAGAGCAGTTTTGCAACTATTTTTAATGTTTTATACACACACACACACACACACACACACCAAACCACAAATAAATAAGATTGCAAATGCTTAAATGAAAAATGCACATGCCACTCTTTTTTATTATTATTTAAAATCCCATAAAAAAGAGTCGCCCGCCTGAAGCAAAGCTGATGGTTGAATCAGCACCTGATTCACTGGTCTGTCATTTCATCTGAGAAACTGGGCTTACATCCTGATTAAGAGGCCTGACAAGACTCATTATTTCCATATTTCTTTCTCTCCGAACCTCAGCATTTTTCTAATTAATTTCTAGTTAACCGCCCCGCCCCCCGCCCCGCCCCAATATCGCAGGCAGAATCAGAATCAACTGATTACGGTCAAGCGATATGGACATATACAGCAATAGAGAACATGTAAATAAAAGCAGGTTAAAATTAAACTCTATAAGATAGAAAACAGTAAATAATACAGATGTAAAGCCTTTGAAATATGTAGATTAAATCCTTAACCACTAATTTAAAATGTTTGCGTTAAGACATTGGCCATTAGATTCATTCAGAGCTTGTAGCAGACAGCGCTGCGCAGAGCAAGGAACTTTGTCAACAGACATTGGTTTTTTATCTGACCCAGAATAACAAAGCTCAAGACTTCAGCCATTTTCTCCCTCTTTTCAACATGTGTCAGAAAATATATTTTCAGTTTGTTTGTTTTTAAGATACCGTTGGGAAACACAGCATTTCTAGTTCAATTTTCAAGCCAGTGTAGTGAGTTGTACCCTAGGTTTACTGCGCAAAGTTGAAATCCCCATTTAGGCATGAAACATGCAGGATGAGCCCCAAGCAAGTCACTCTCAACTGAACTGACTTTGCAATACTGTCGCACAGATAAAATGGGTCTATTCTGTGTGTGTGTGTGTGTGTGTGTGTGTGTATCATCCTGCGTGACTTGGAGGAACAGCAGGATATCTATGTGACATTTTAAAGCACGTTTTTATGATTTAGCTTTCAGAAGTTTGCGATTCAAGGGGAACACTGGTAAAGAGGGAGGAGGAAGAGGAGGAGGAGAGCTAAAGTTCCATCTCAGGAGGCACTTTCTCCGACAGGAGGATTAGGATGTTATATAACCTACTAAAGCTGATTCAGAGGTAAATATAACACTGAAATCCATGGTGAGGCCCATCTTACTACAGCTCAGTTAATGCTGACCTTAGAAGAAGCCTGGCTGTAAAGTGCAGGATGGGCTAATCAAGCATTTTGCCATACAAATGCTGACGTAGAGCTGAGGTGACAAGGCTGAAACCCAGCATGTGGTGGTGAACGTTTTAAAGCGCCTTTGAAATCAAATTTAAATCACTCAAGATTTTTTCTTTCTCAAAGGTAAGAAAGAAAGAAAAACAAAACAACTTCATACATTGCACAAACGGAACTTCTTGTGTGCTCAGCCGGCTTTCCTTCATTTCATGCCGATCACTGTCATTTAACATCTTACCCGTTCATACGCCCAGAACTTAATAGCTGTTTCAGGTGCAATTTTAACAACATTGACACCATTTCCTCTCCAAAGTGAACGGACGCCTCCTTCTTTAACCATCTGCTGCAAGCCACCTTTTATGTTCATTTTCCCCTTGGAGCCGTGGACCTTTAGCAAAGAAAGAGAAAACATAATTGTTTGATACACATAGAAAGCTGAATTGACAGTATAACACTTCTTTTCTTTCTAAACAGAAATAAAGTGTGCAAACCCTTTAAGGAGGGAGCCATTCCAAATTCTATGCTAGCTGTTACTTTTCCTGGCTTACACCTGAAACACAGGTTAAGGCCCAAACAACATGTTAAGCAAAGTCAAATTCCTCTGCATTTAAAGAATCCCGAATCAGCCTGGGGGAAGCTGTATCATAAATAGTGAAGGAAAAGAAGGAAAAACTGTCTATCCCTTTCCCTTCCTGTATTTTTTCAGTTCAAAGCTGTCCTCTTTAAAACAGTTTCTTAGTTGGAAGGTAGAACTTTCACCCTACAAATCAAAACGTAGCTGGTGAGGAGGAAATAGCTGGCAGGGAAAGGGTTAACCAGCCTCTCCTAGTCCTGCCCTCATTCCACTAATATACAGTCTGAGCTGCTTTCAGTTAAAAACCAAGAACAAAATGCTACTATAATATATGGTCTGAGGCTAAGGAAGTTCAAAAATAAATACAACTGCATGCCCATAAAAATACACTGCAGATATTACATTGCCTCCAAATGTGATTTTTTTTTTTCGGGAACAGATTGCATTCCACAATGCCAAGTCTTCTTGGCATTACATGTGATGAGGACATGCACTGCTTACATGATTTTACTCAACAGATCTAGCAGTCAAGTAATGGCACTGCATTTAGGGCCGGATCCAATGTTGCAGTTCTGGGGGATTCTCCAGAACACATTTAGGGGGTATGGGGGGGGGGAGGAAACAGAAGTTCTGTTTTGCTAGCAGAACAGAAACAACCCGTAGAGAATCAGCAGCAAGATGCGTCCAACATCCTAATGCTGAACTGAGAAGAAAAGATTCCGGACACAGACCTAAAGCTGCAATCCTATCACATTTACCTACTCTAGTCATCAGAGCAGACACATACAGGCTTAAGCCCAGTCAATTATTAAGTCCTTCCTGCATATATTCATGTTATATTTCAGTTAACAACCCATTGCAACAAATGCATTTCTCATTTACATAATGACTAGCACTCGTGGGGTCTCTAAAAATAGGTTCCTATAAATAACCTCTTTATACGCGGAGCATCTCTCAATAACAACTGGTATCTTGTGATTCAATTTTATTTCTTAGGAAGGGCAAGAGAAGATACCCAATAGGCCAAAGAGGCACAAAACTTGTCAGCCCTGTCCCAGAAGGCCTTGCATATTTATAGGACTCAAACAGCAGCATATGGGGCAAATTACTATGGAAAGAGCAGGAACTTCCCCAAATCTTTTTTGATTCAGCATGGAGGCCTGCTCTTCAAAATTAAAAATCGCACCAGGTGTGTTCAACCCTTTGGGCACAGCATGTCTAGATATGGACCTGGGGGCTAGGCTTTAAAGGAACCCACCTGCATCATGACTTTAAGGCGGTCCAGTGGCGCTGTTCCCGTTCGAGATACTGCACCAGCAACCCCTCCTGACAAAAGCTGTCTCCACCACTGCCCAGTCTTTTTCTCCTCTTCTGTGAATTCGTCTGGGATAGTCAAGCTGTCTCCAATGTCCAATACCTGTTAAGATGCAAAGCAAAAGAGTTAGATCAACATCCAACAGCCTTGCCTTTCAACAAAGAGCCCTCATTGTTACAGAACTCCCACAGGGGCAATTCCAAGCAGAAGAGAAAGGAAGCATACGTATTTTTTCCTGACTACATCTGAAACCGTGCAGTCTAAAAACCCACCATTTCAAAAACCGCGCCATCATCGTTAAAAATGATAGTAAATTTCTGCCTCGTATACTTCTGTAAAAGAGACATGGCATGGGGGCGAGCGATGCTTTCCAGACACAGTGCTGAAATCCTAATGGCTACAAAGCACAGTTCGACTTTCTTCCCGGCAGCTTTTAAGGATTACCAAGATTAACCTTTTGACAACTTCCTAAAAAGATTATCAGCCCAGTTACTTGTAATTCATCCAAGTATTTTTATCTCCATTGAATTATTATGTTATTTAAAAAAAATAAAAAATAAAAGACACCCATCTTGCTTTGCAAGATAATCAGTTTGGCAAATCTATGATTAGTTTGCCCCCTTCTATCAGATTGCATGATTGAAATATAGTTTATTGGTATTTTTACATGTATAAAACACAATCCTTTCTATTTCAGCAGGCAGGTTAAGCAAGTTGTCCTATTCCTATTTACAGAACTTGATTACCAGTACTTTTTCTTTGTTTTAAACACCACATTGTTGTCTTTCTTATTGTAGTGCAAACTGCTTTTTGACCATCTGTGGTGTAAAGTAGTCTATATTCAAAATAAACCTTAGCCTGGAGGGCCTTCACTCCCTGCTTTAAACAATGCAGTAGCACTGGTTTTCTTCCATAGGATGCTGCTACAACATTAAAAGTTATGCAACCACATGAACACAGCCAGTTTGCACAAGTTCTTATCATGGAATTGTTACTGCTATGAAACAGTTGCGTTGTGAAGACCAGGGCAATGGTTGTGAGCTTTGAAATGCTGCAGCAGTTCTATGGGATGAACCAACAGGAAATTTGCTACTATGGTGGCCATTCTCATGGTTAAATGGAATGAATCTTTGATAAAATTACTGAAGAAAAAAAGACAATAATTTTCTATATAAGTAGTTTAAATATAGACTTTTCCTCTTCATAATTCATTAACTAGCTTACATTTTGGCACCATGATCTATATAAAAATCTATTTTATGATATAATTCGTCAGGCCTCAAAAGACATCTCCAATAAACTGAAGTTGTAATGGGCTTATAATGTACGTATGCTTTTAAGACGTATTTAAGCTACAGTCATAGTCTATCAATAATACTGGTATTTTAATTTCAAATATCAATATTCTCTCAGATTTTACTCATCTTTTAGACACCCTGTCAATTCAAAATGCAGCTGCTCTTAAACTCTGATTCTAACTCTATCAGAAATGGGATGAAATCAAACAGAATTCAGCTTGACAGCCACACTTTTTAACAGTGAATTACAAACTGAGAATTCAGAATGGAAATGCGCATTTACATTTGCAAGAGTTTATTATAAACAAACCTATTTTCAAGACTCTTTGGATTACTAGCTAAACCTTTTCTCCTCAGTATTCCAAACCCAAGCACCCGCTTCTATACAAGGCTTGGCATGTTCTAAGAATAATTCTATCTATGCTCTTCAAAAAGAGGGTTGCTGCCACCAGCCCCAAACTCTCTATATTTTGATCCTCCTCCAAAATAGGAGACCTCTTTAGAAGGATGTTCTAAAATAAACATATTTACCAGGTAACCATTTTCACTGACTTCAATGGGACCCCACCCCCTTTCCTACAATAAACATACTGTCAGGGCCGCCTCAGGTCCCAGCTCACAAGAGACCAACGCCAAGTCCACTTTATTTACAAAAGTCTTTATTGAAGTACATTGTTTGTTCCACAGCCGAGGCGCGCAGCCCCACGTCTGTTACGCTTAGACCGCTGAAGTCCCCTCTGAATCAGTCCCGCCTCTACACCAGTTTAAGAGGCTTGTGCTGGTCCACCTCTTCCTGTCCTTCCTTTTCCGCAGGGTCTTTCTGCCCCCCTGGGTTCCTTCCCTCCTGCTTTCCCCTGACGCTGAGTCCCCAGACGCCTGCTCCCCCTCCTCCGTGCTTTGGGACCAGGCTCCTCCTCCGGGCTCTCCGCATTTCCACGCGCCTCCACATTTGAACTTGGCGCGCGTTCGCTACCCCTGACCTTCCTCTTGACAGTTATACTACTCTCTGTACTACTCTCCGCCCCTTCCGGCAGGACGTCTTGCCCCGATCTCCTTCCCCTCTCTGCTTCCTGCTCTGCTCCGCCTGTCACACTGGGAACTCCACCCTCTTCACTCCGTTCCGGCTGGGAAGCCTGCCCCGATCTCCCACTCCCACTCGGGGTTTCCCTGCTGCTCCCCTGCTCCTGACGAGTCCCCCCTGTGGCTCCCCTTGGCCTGACCAGGGGCGCCCCCTTTTGGGAATCCTCCGATTCACTTGAGAGACTCATGGAAGCCCTCAAGTCATTGTCATCCTCCTCCTCCTCGTTCCTGGATTCTTCCCCCTCGCTCTCAGTCTCCTCCCTCATCTGTGCCTCTCTCCCTGAACCCCTGACACATACATAGAGTCATAATCTTAACAGTAGCAGAGCCACTGCAGCTTGAGGGTTACAGTAGCAGCCTAAGACTGGTGGGACCAAAGCATGCCCCCAACATACACTTCTGCTAACGAAACTCATTAGTAAATCCTGCTCAAATTTGTCTGCACTATGACTACCATAAGAAATGTAATGCATACTCACTGTAGAATGTTTCCAGTATCGAATGATTCCTTGAATGTCTGTAGCAGGATTAAATAGGAAATGGTCCCGCCATTCATTCCAGTCCACTGACATTGTCCCGTCAGCATCTATGCTAAAAATTCAAAGTGATATAATCAGAATTCTATGCAATATTCAAAACAAACCAACTTCTAGCCATGCACAGTGAAGCTTTGGTTTGTTAAATCAACTGGAGTTTGTTATGAACCAGAGCTCCTGGTTCACATACAATGATAACTTAAGCTTCTAGTGGTATTAAGTGAGTTTACAGTTTGTATATTTGTGTACAAAAAGATGAGGCTTACTCGGGCTTCTTCCAGCTTGAGCATGTCAGGATAAACCATAGTATAGTGTGCAAAGATGGCCACAAAGAAGCCATGGTTTACCTTGTCAACCTACGTTATGCTTCTAGAAAATAGTGTAAAAGATTTTATCAGCAAGACTCACTTGTCACCAAACAAAGAGAGAGACTGGGAAATAGTTACATATCCCAGTGGGATGAGACTTCAGCAGTGGGGAGGTGGCCTCAGTGCTACTCAATTTAAAATAATAGCTGGTGCTGACCTTTGTAGAATCTTCGTTGCTTGTTTTTCTGAAATATCTATACCCAAGATCTTGAGGGACTGAACAATTTCTGAGGCATCAATTACTCCTTTATAAGAGGGAGGGAGAAAAAACACAAATGAGCTGAAGGGCTCTGCAGACTTTTAAATATTTGAATGTTATTACAGATAGTCAAGAGAAGAGCACCAGGGATTTGGAAATGGGGAATTGGTCAGTATACAAACAAACAATATAAAGATGTACGCCAGAAAAAGAGCATCAAAAATACTAGGAACAAGGTCCAGGTAGATGGACCAATGTCTGACTCTGTATAAAGCAGTTTCCTATGTTCCTATGTGGAGAAGTTGGTTCAGAGCTGACAGCAAACTGCAGTTACTTGGAAAAAGCTGATTCATATATTGGTTTATTACATATGACTTTCCAAACCAGCTCATTGACAGTTTTCATTCTTTAATATAAATCTATTGAAAATGTTAATTATATATTGTATTATGATACTTTCTTGTTTATGTCATGTTTACATTTTTAGTGCTGATCTCTTAACATAATTACGTAATTAAGGCTTACATTTTATTTCTGTGTTGCACTGAGAATTTTAGATTGACTTGAAAGAAATAGACTCCTTTGTGTATCTTAACACAACAGATATGGTGGAAAATTGGATCCTACCATCGTTGTTTTTGTCCAGACTTTTAAAGGCTAATTTCATTTTCTTCTCATGGTCTTTAAGATAGCATGTAAATTCTTCAAAGTCCAGCCGGCCATCTTGGTTAGTATCTCCAGCTCTGAAAATTTTCTGTTTAAAAAAAATGCATATTGAAGAAAAAATAGTAATGGTGCTTATAGTATTTCAAAAACGCATTCCAAAAGAGAGGTTTCTCCTTTTCTGCACAAATCATTTCTGCACTTTTAGTTAATAGAATTGCATACATTTCCTGGAAATGTGGACAATTAAGTGCAATACAGTAATTAATTTAGCTAAACAGTGTTCTCTTCTTGGGTGTGGTGTATGGAATCTTACCACTGAAGCATTACAAAGGTAGCATTCCAGACCGCAGTGATGGATCCCCACATCCTATTTAACTGGAATAACACTTTCTGCCTGTATCTTTTCACAGGAACTGCTCCAAATGTATTCTGATGTGTTTTACCATGGAGGAAGACCCAATACCTTGCCTGCATTCTGCATCTGTTTGTCCCTGCCCAATTCCCTGATAGCCTTCTATCTACTGGGCTACGGAACGTCATTAGAGCGTTATGAGAAACATGAGACTGTGGTTTTTAATGTCTGACATTTTATTTACTTTTTACTTTGCTGGAAGCAAATGGGAAGGGTATAAACAATAAAATTATTGTTGTTGTTATTATCTCATACGTAAGAGGAAAAAGCAGCCGAAAGGCAATGCAAAGCTGAGCTGTTCTGTCTTGATAGCTGATAATAACGTTCTCCGCCTCTGGCTACTCTGGTGGAATGCTTGTGCTAAAGAATAAATGGGCAAAAATCTAACATGAAAAAAACCACCATTTCAGCCTCCTAGCATACTCTGCTGCCTACCTCTCAACAGAATCGGGCTGCGAGAAAATTTCTAAGTGATTAAAAAAATAAGCAGGCCTAGATATGGTCTCTACTTAAATGTAGCAGTGCCTGGAAAGGAGCTCGGGCAACGCTCTGACTTTCTTTCTTGGAAAAGTACTTATTTAGCAAAATTTAACCTTAAATATTATAGCATGTAAACAAAACAACAAAATGTATTAAATATGAAGAAGTAGGTCACGTTCAGAAGTTAATTGGCAGCAGGCTGCAGATATCCATAAGAGAATACCTCTTCACACAATTATGTCTTATGGAATGCACTGCCACTTTAAGTGCCAATCGCCACTAGCTTAAATGGCTAACCCCGTACACCAGGCTTCCTCAAACTCGGCCCTCCAGACGTTTTTGAGACTACAATTCCCATCATCCCTGACCACTGGTCCTGCTAGCTAGGGATCATAGGAGTTGTAGGCCAAAAACATCTGGAGGGCCAAGTTTGAGGAAGCCTGCTGTACACAGATAGCTTTAATACAGTCATTACTACCTATGCAGCTAGCTGTAATACATGAATTGCTCAAAATAATATGCAGAGAATGTTATTGTTTCCATAAATATGAGCTGCTGCTTCGTGTTAATAAGCCACAAAAGCAAACCCTAAAACAGGTTCAAATGCCAGTATTAATTAGCCTAATGAGATATTTAGGCTACCTTAGCGACATACAAATGATGTGCAACTAATCACAGTGGCATCATGAATTCTATTTTATGAAGAACATCACTGAACAATGACTTAGAGGTACATAACAGAGATTAACCCCCTGCCCCCAAAAAAGTATTGATCATTTTAAGGTTTATTGGTTTGGGTCTCATTCCAGTTGGTTGTGAGCATCTATGTGTAATGTATTTATGTGCTTTAAAACAGAAATATCTTCTACATGGGCATAAATATCTAGATTCAACCTTCCTTCCCAGACATACATACATGTATACTCAAGTAGCTTGCGCACTTGTTGCTATTATACTAACCATGAGTATACTGCAGATACATTTTTGTCAAGGCCAGTACAACAGTTTTGCTAACACAAGTTCTAGGAATGCAAGATTCATAGTGATTATGAAGTTCAAAGTAACTGTCTTCCCTAAAGAAACAGGTCCATCTCACCGTAAGACAGGAGGCCAGGGCATTGAAGGGCAGCAAATTGTTATTTACTTCATTCTTTATTATTATAGTCTCACCACTATGTGGGAACAACATTTGGCTTTTCTGCCTCAAGCAGAACGCATTGGACCTTCATTAGTGCTGTCACCCCTGTATGTGGCTCCTGAAACATGAGAACATAAATGCTCTCCCACAGATGATTCTGGCAGGCACGTTCCTTTTATTCTTAGATCAGGAGCCTGTCACATAGAGTACCTGAATATGTATTGTGTAAAATTGCCACAACACAAGTGTCCAAAGTAGCTTACAGGAATGATTGAAAAATAAATAAAAATGAAAACAAAAAATAGAGTAATGGGAACAAATTAAAACAAGTCAACAAGAACATCAACTTCATAGAATTTGCTGGAGGCGGGGGATAAATCTTCACATCACTGGAAAGGCCTGGAGGAAGAAGGGCAGGTGGACATTCCAGGGGAAAGTTCCTGGCCCCAAATGTAAAAATGGCAAAAACCACACTCATCAGCCACCACCAAAGAGATACTTTTAGGAATATGGGAGGAGGTAGTACTTTTAATGTCCTTCCTAAATATCCTGAGGAGCATGAGGCAACAGCACCGGATTTAAGGCAGTGTGGGTGGTTCCCCTGCACAGGGCGTCAAGCCGGCGGGGTGTAAAATAATCATCATCCTCCTCCTCATCATCATCCCTATATTTACACAGGTACCTACTCAAAGTTAGGCCCTGGTCAGGCAGGTGTTTGAGTTGCCACAACTGTGATGTAGTGCACTTGACAGCATCCACAGAACGGAAGGCAAGAGGGAGAAGAGCACAAAAATAAGAAATATTGGGCAAGGGGCAAATTATGTCCTTGCTTAGGGCGCTATATTAGCAAAGTCCGCCCCTGGAGGCAGCTACCTTGAGTGCAAAGCAGTTTAAGCCGTTACCCTTAGGTGTGTTGCCCCATCACCAGTGTTGAAAACAACTCTTGGTCCAGCTGACTCCCACATGTGTACAACAGAAGGCAGGGCATCACCTTAGACAGCAAATTACCTTAGGCAGTGCAGATGCTCAGAACTGTAACCTTCTTACCACGGCATAACCTCAACGTGGTAATTTTGTGGCACTGCAGTCAATGTAGTTCCTGTTGTAACTTCTGACAGAACGGCACTGTAGTGTACACAAACTGCTCCAATGGGCATCAAGCCACACAGGCCTATTCAGATGCAGACCAGATAGGCCCTTAGTCATGAATGGCAAACGGATATAGTATTTTAGGTCAATAGTCCATGCTGCACTGACTCAGGCAGGCTGGAATGTAGAAAAGGAAGTTCCTTCTTTCAGAAAAGAGGTGGTTTTAAAATCGAATAAATAATAATAAAAAACAGGAATTTACTATTTGCACTATTTTGCCTCATCAAACCACTCGGTTAAACCCTTTGTTTAAGATATCCCAGGGCTTGCAAGGCTGAAACTGGCTTCGGCCCTCCTCGCCAAGCCTCGCACCCACCTTCTCCGCGTCATCTCCCAGGGGGATGCCCAGAGCCTTGAGTCCGGATTGCAGCTCGGCGATGTCCACGCGGCCGTCCCCATCGCGGTCCAGCTTCTGGAAGAGGTTTTCGTACCGCGGGTTCCTGTCGGGCGCTTCGCAGGCAGCCTCCGGGAGCGCAAAGGAGCTTCTCCAGAAGCGAAACATGATGCAGGAGAGAGGAAATGGGGGGAGGCAGGGGGCAGAAGAAACGAAGGAAAGTGGGGCAGATGAAAGAAGTAGAGGCCCCCGCAATTTGGTGAGCGTTACTAGAAGAAAACGGAGGAGGAGGAGGAAAAAACACAGCTGCAACCTTCCCACTTTGGGGAGGAGCGAAAAAAACGTTAAGAGATGGCACGCAAGAGCCAACGCCCTGGGAGGGAGCAGAGAGGCGAAGCGCGGGTTTCTCCTTCTCATTGGGCGTCCTGGCCTTGCATGGTCACGGCCTGGGTGGGACTTGGGTCTTCTTTTCCTTCCCACTGCAGAAAGGAAGGAGCTGGGTTTGGACGGCGGAGATCTGCGCCCAGGCAGGCGATGTGGAAGTTAGTGACTAAGTTCCTTGATCGGCTTGGAAGGGGGGAAAGGTTATGCTGCTGTTTGAGACGCCCGATCCTGTGCTCGTTTACTCGGGCGTCGATCCAACCGCGCATAATAGGGCTTTGCTGACCTGGCACTCTGCCCCCCCCAAAAAAAACATTTTGCATTCAGAGATTGTGATCCTAAAGACGCTTCCTAGCCAGCCACTTAGAATCATAGAATTGTAGTGTGGGAAGAGAGTTATCTAGTCCAAACAGCTGCAACCTTAGAGGGCTTCCAGGTGGGACTTAAGCATTCCACAGGTCAAAACCCCTCCCCTCACAACACACACATGGAAATGCAGTGATGGAGAAACCTACACCTGTTGAGTGTAGAGACGGTTTGAGCACAACACACTGATCCCTGCCAGATTGCACTGGCTGTCAATTAGCTTCTGGGCCCAATTTGACCTATGGAACTTTGAACGGCTCAGGATAGCAATACCTCAAGGACCACCTCTCCCCACATGAACCATCCCAGAACCTGTGATCATCATCTGAGGCCCGTCTTCATGTGAGGTTCAGAGGGTGTCCACACAAGAATGGGCCTTATCTGCAGTAGCTCACCGTTTGTGGAATGCTCTCCCCAGGGAGGTTTGCCTGATGCCTTCATTTCATATCTTTAGGTGCTAGGCAAAAACATTTCTTTATAATCAGGCCTTTAGCTGATTAACATTCTAAAGGCTTTTAAATGTGTTTGGGGGGGATGTTATTGATTTGTTTCTGTTTTTTGTTTTAATGTGTATTTTGTGTTCTTATGTTTATTTTTATGTTGTGAACCATTCTATGATTTTCTGATGAAGGACACTATACAAATTATTATTATTATTATTAATAATAATAATAATAATAATAATACTTGTCATGTACCATGAGCATTCTGTCGGAAGTGAGTCATCCTAATTATGACAGTAGTAGAAAGTTTGGAGTGGATTATTTATATATGTAAACAACACTGCAATTCTATATACATGAACCTGAGATATGCTGCAGGTATCAACCATATGGCCTGTAAAAACATAGCTGTTCATCCTCGCCTTCCATGTTTGTTCCAAAGATTTGGCAGATGTAAATGTTTATACTCGTAACTGTATTTAATGTGTTCTAGTGAGTAGTCTTAGTCATTGTGTTATTACCACCTTGATAATTATTATTTAAAGTCAGTATGTAAATCATTTTAACAAATTAATCTCATTGAATTTTGGGACTTCTTTTTGAGTAGACATGTATAGAACTGTGCTGTAAATGTTGACGTGTGAACCTTGAAGCAAAATGGCTATACTAAAGCCTGAAGGAGCGTCTCCACCCCCATCGTTCTACCCGGACACTGAGGTCCAGCACCAAGGGCCTTCTCACTGCGAGAAGCCAAGTTACAGGGAACCAGGCAGAGGGCCTTCTCGGTAGTGGCACCTTCCCTGTGGAACACCCTCGCACCAGATGTCAAAGAGAACAACAACTACCAGGCTTTTAGAAGACATCTGAAGGCAGCCCTGTTTCGGGAAGCTTTTAATGTTTGATGTATTATAGTATTTTAATATTCTTTTGGAAGCCGCCCAGAGTGGCTGGGGAAGCCCAGCCAGATGGGCGGGGTATAAATAATAAATTATCGTTATTATTATTATTAAGGTTGCCAACTTTTCTCGTTGGGGGATGCTTCCCCACCCGATTACTGCACCTTCCTTCCTGGAAAGCCTTATAGCTGGGTTTCTACATGACATTTAATGACTGAAAGAATCAGCATTGGCAACACAAGCTTTAACTACCATTCATAAACTTACCAACCAGCTATACTCATCCCTGAAATCTTGCATTTCTAGTTCTCTCCAGTATATGTAGGAAGGTATTTCTTACACACCGAACACACATCATTCTGTGCACAGTACTTTTCAAAAACAATGTGCATAGGGTGTGCATGCGGTACACCCTGTAATTCCTTGTCAGTAAAAACCAAACTTGTCGGTTTGCATAATTAAGCATTTGGGTGTGCCTAGTCATGCAAACAAGTGCCAAAATGAATCCTGGTGGCGTTTTTAGTTTTGAATGGAATGAACTTCAGTGGAGTTGCTTGTAATCTATACTTTATATAAGTATAGTAGCAGTTCCAGGTAAAAAGTATCTGCATGCAAAATGCTTTATAGCCTAATTTTAAGCATACTGTACTCAGAAGCCAGCCTTACAGTGGGGCTTATTCTCAATAAAATTGTACAATTAATTCCCATTAATTCTCATCATTCTTTAGAACCATATTGTGAGGTGGGTTAGGCTGCAATATACTGATTTGCCAGAGGCTCTAATAGGCTTCCTTCTCCACCCTCAACAACAAACCAACTCACAAAATTTGCAGGTGTGCATGCACATGCAGTTAAAACTATATTTGGGGTTTTTCCTAAGGAAAACTTGAAACCGTGCAGTAGTATGTGATGTTTATGTGCACACGCTCATGCAAGACATCTGTGTATTTCCCTTCTGTGTTTGCCCAGCAGTACTGCTTAAAGTCACATTTCATGACATTTGGAAACTTACACAGTATGGGAGACCTGGGTGTTTGCAAAAGAGAATAAAGTACCTTAAGTGCATGAAGAGTTTCGCTTACTCCTAGTTGAGCTTGCCTCTTCCTGCTTCTGGTAGGCTCAGGGATGACGAATGGGAAGCAAGTGGAGCAAGTACTTCCCCATTTCCCACTACTCAATTTTGACCACCCAAGCTTTCAGTCACCGTATGCCTACAGCTGGTTGAAGAAGACTTTTCCACTTCCTTCCATAGCAAACAGTTGCCATTGCTGTTCTAGTCTCCCGATCAAGCCAGGCTAATCCCTGCAGCTGCCTGGCCAAGAGCAGTGGCCGGATGAGCTCATCCATCCATCCATGTGCACAGGGCCGGATTTAGGTGTGATGAGGCCCTAAGCTACTTAAGGTAATGGGGCCCTTTATATGTCCAGATGTCCTTTGTCAACAACAAATTGTCGCTGTTTTTTGTGTTGAATATATGCTGTACAGTATGGTAATTTATGGACCTAATAGGTATTTAAAGCCATTTGCATATGTTGCCATGCAACCAGTCCATGCAGAATGTAGGCACCCTATATATAGAAATGAGCAAACCAGTGATATTTTAGGGAGCAGGCTATCAGGCGGGGCCCATTACTTACATCATAGGAGCCTACACAGCACAAAACACTTGCTGTATGTAGGTTTTATTTTATTTGTTTTTATCTTTTATTTTGGAAATGGTACATTTTTTTCTTTAATTTTTTTTGGGCCCCCCGAAGAGAGTGGGGCCCTAAGCTATAGCTTGTTTAGCTTATACGTAAATCCGGCACTGCATGTGCAGAGGGGTGCAGTGCAGACTACTTCTGCTAAAGCACTTTAAAGTGCTGTTTAACAAACCAAAGTCTCAAACCTGCCTATGGTGGTTTCAGGGTTGCTGTTTTTATGGGAAAGGCAGCCGAGGGCGGTGAAATTGGTTACTGAAACAGTACTAAGGAAGGAGAAGTGACACTTTGAGGTGTTCTTGCAATCAGAATTCACACACACACCTACTAGAGGTCCTGTTTTCTCCCATGGGTGGAAAAAGGCATTGATCACCCCCACCTATCTCTGTGCTGCTGTTATAATCAACTTCACACCCATTCCAGTGCATTTCCCTAGAAAACTCAGCACACCAGGAAACTGCATAACAACATCGGGCTACATTGCAGGAGTGTGTCACATGCTGTCCTCTATCAGCTCACCCCAAACCCACACTATGGATATAGCAATATAGGGTTGATATGTCACGCTGGCCACGTGACCCGGAAGTGTCTCCGGACAGCGCTGGCCCCCGGCCTCTTGAGTGAGATGGGCGCACAACCCTAGAGTCTGTCAAGACTGGCCCGTACGGGCAGGGGTACCTTTACCTTTATGACTCCAGGGTAGCCAATCTGATGTTGTGGGCTAAAACTTCCATTGCCAGCAGTCATCATGATGGAAGTTATGGTTCAAAAGCCCCGGGGGGGGGGCAACCACATTAGCTACCCCTGATGTTATCCATCTTCTCTCAGCTGCAGCACCTAGCACCCACCCCTACAATATGGGTATAATATAAAGGTGGACTTCCTTTGCCCTGGCAGGGTAATTTTTAAAATGTCTACAAACTTGGGGAGAAATACATATCTGCCTGAGCTAGTAAGAGTACAAGCTCCTGTCACTACAGCTAACTTTTGTTGTGTGCTTGATATACTACTGCCCACTCACAGATACATTGCATTTCTGAAATTTCTTTTTAGCACTGTGAATAAGCCCTGCTTGTTTAAAATGTGTTTTAATGGGTACTGTGTAATATAGTCAGTCATTTGCATTGTAATGGACATTGTAATGTGTTTGATGATAGAAGTCTTCTGTCTGGTCAGGTGAAAGTTGGTTTAACTGTCACTGGGGTCCTTAACTGACAGTTGAGGAAAGAGGTTGGAGCTAGAACACTAAAAATGCAAAATAAGGCTAGAAACTATGCATATTCTGATTGGTGGTTACAGGTTTAGAATCCTTAGTTAGGCAGTGTGATTGGCTGGTGCTCAATTAGGTGGGGCACAAGAAGTGAATATATAGCTGGGTGCTCTTCAGTCAAGATCAGTCTGTGTTAGTTGGAGATGGATGCCAGCAACCACCAGCAAGATAACCAGAAGAAGAAGACAGCAGAGGAAGAGAACTCAGAAAGAAGATCTGAAAAAAAATGAAGTGTAGCTTGGTGACCAGAAGATTTGCTGGGGCAGCTGAATCACTTGGCTTAGAGTAAAAAGACATGGGAAGAACGTGTTTACAATATTAAGGCAGAAGAAATGAGAGGCAGTTTAGAATGCTAAACAGATCTGCACTTCAATAAGTTGGTAGGGATCAAAACAGGCTTTAACAAAAGTCCTCAGTTACAGCACTGGTAAGGCTTAACTGGGGTGGAATAAATATGAGGTCAATCTGGTAGAAGAGTT